GGTTTATTTTAAAAACCTCTTAACCACTTTTTCGTCCAACTCGTTGCGGACCACACTTTCGATGCTGAAAACTATATTATTCAGATGTCCAAAAAATATGCAATATTTCCCTAATTGTACCTGATACAGTATTTATGGTAAGAATGCTGCTAGCAGAACCTATTCCCTGAAAAAAGTTACGCATTTTTAACGAACTTTTACAAACACGCAATTACATGAAATGAAATCAGCTGATTATATAATAAGTCGTTGCATCACTTTCAGTAGCAATGACAATAAACGAAAACATAGCCTCTCCAAGAAGTTATGAGTAGTGATTGTTAGTAATTAAAAACTAAATTGTTAGTAATTAAAAAACGGTCTTAGGTAAAGTAGTGTACGCAACTCGCGTTAATAGTCTATACGACACTTGTAGAAGTTTTTAGGGCACTCACCAAGGCTCGTGCCTTAAATTTTCTACTCGTGTCGTAAAGACTAACTTAACGCAATCGTTGCGTAAACTACTATTACACTACTTAGTACGATATGTAAGTTGTGCTACACGTTTAAAAAACTGCAACTACATGATTCAATATTAAGATAATTAGAATATGACTTAAAATTATAATTATCATGAAAAACTTCCTCGCTTGGAAGTCAAAAGGTAAAAAAGAATCTTACTAGATATGATGAAGAACGAACTAATACAAAACTTTCACTGCCTTGCCTTTATGAGAAATGTCTTTAATGTATACTCAAAGACACAAATTTCGACCATGTAAATCAAACATGAACCAACACCATACGTCAAATGCTGGTTCGTGCCAATAAGGCAGTTCTAATAAAAGTAATTTTAAGGGGTCTCCAAATTTTATCTCTCTATATATATATAGGCCAAGATGAATTTTGTGATAATTGTTTTGAAGCTGCCATGCATACGATGAATTTTGTGATAATTGTTTTGAAGCTGTCATGCACACGATGACCATGTTTAAGGTGTCATTGGATAGGTCGTGGCATGTAGATTTGTCATCAAAAAAAAAAATTAGAAATTCCATCAGAGCTCTGCCCCAGTGGCCTTAAAAGTTACCATGTTGTTCTTTAAAGAGAAAATGTTTGTTTACATTTGAACAGATGAATACTTTGAAATGTACACTATTTTAAACAGCTGGTTATACTAATTAGTTGGTTATCCTATACTAATATTATAAATGAGAAAGTTTGGATGTATGGATGTATGTATGTTTGTGACAAGTAAACGTGAAAAATACTGGTCGGATTGGGCTGAAATTTGGTGTGATGATAGCTCACATTCCCGATTAACATATAGACATATTTTTTTCTCAAAAATCCTTTCGGGCTCCGCCCCAGTGGCTCTAGAGTTTCCCGTGTTAACCTTACGAGAATTCATATTTAAAGGGAATAAGGAATTTTGCCAGCTGTTCCTACTACACAAGTTTATTCTATGATATTCAATAGCATTAAAAGGTTATAAGGTTTACCAACAGGGTGCAGCACTATTAATTCTTTTTACATTTATGACAACAGCTAATTTGAACCAAGCAGCAACAAAGCAACAAAGCTGTGAGAACTTAACTTTTTTCTATTGTTTAGGTGCAGTGGTACAACATTATGGCTATGGGAGGTGTGCTATATACTGTAATAGTTTACCGTGAATTATAGTAAACAAACTTTTCTTAAAACGAGTCCTGTCCCATTGCAAACGCAAAGCACGAGTTTACGCCAACCCCGTTCGAAGGACGGGTACTCTGCTAGTCTTCTATATATTAATTTGAAACTGTTTCCTTTGTCACAGCTAATTTGAGAGAACGGCTAGGCGAAGAAACTCGGTAGAGGTGCCAGGGTGCCCCCCTGCTGCCTCCATGCGTAGTGGTGGGTAGACGGGAGCGTACACGAGAACCCGCCAACTCGAACTAGAGCTGTGGTCGCGTAAAATGCGTCAACGCCGAGTTTGGAGGGCAGCGTGCCACGAGACTGCGCTCGTATAGTCAGTCCAATTGACTTGCATCGCCATCCAAATTGAAAAATAGCGCAGCATATTTAATGCGACGCATTTATCACTATTTGACGTATAGTACCCTATGTACCTGAATGTGTGGTGGTGGGTTGGTGGTGGCCTGTTGTCCGGATGGCCCCATAGATAAGACATATGCTCCCTTAGTAGATTTCTCATCCTTATGGATCAGCTGAAGACAATTGTATTGTTAGTTCCGTCCGGTGTACTGTACTAGTCGTGTTTAGTATAATAGTTATTCTTGTTATTTCCAGTAATTTAAAACCACGTTTAACCAACGATCTAATCATAAACAATAACCCGTCCTCTAGTTATATAACCAAACAGTAAAGAAAAAATCGTGAAATTAACCCTAAAATAATCTAACAAAACTTTAATCGACACTAGCGTTCAGTGTCACCGGAGAGGAGTACAGCATATTTTTTCTCTAACCCAGGATCCAGGCCCCCCAAATGACGCCCCTGGCTACAGGACTACAAACAAGGCTACCTCGGTGTTTTTGTGGTGGCGAGATGTCAATTCCTACCATAACACCAAGGTGGGGGGTTAAGTGTGTGTATTCTCTACGACAGGGCTGTCACATGTACAACAATAAATTATACATAAATGAGTACTTGATATACATATAACAGTGACGTCAGCGTCCCGTTAGAGTATAGGATAGGCTCACCCAAATGAGTGTTTTATCGGGAACGCGCCAAGGCACCACTACGTCAACCCGCCACCACGTCAACCCGCCACCAAAAGGAAAAAGAAGCTTGAGGTGGCGGGTTGACGTGGTGGCTCGTTGTCGGGTTGGCACGTTGACTCTACCGTGCCGTACTGCCGTCAACCCGCCACCTCGAAAAAATGTGTGTTGGTGGGTTGTCGTGGTGGTGCTTAGACGTGTTCAAACACGTCATCCAGCTACCTCTTTAGTGCAGTGGCGGGTTGACGTGGTGGCTGGTTGACGTCTACGTGTAAGGTGGCGGGTTGATGGCAGTGAACCTGGGTCGTACACGACAAACCACCATCTCGTAAAAGAGTGGTGGCGGGTTGACGTGGTGGCACGTTGTCGCCTATATGCGAGGTGGCGGGTTGACGGCAGTGAATATGGGTCGTACACGTCGTACACGACAACCCGCCACCTGCGTTGGCAAAAGTGGCCAACTGTTTTCATAGCACGCATCAGAATTTGTTCTATCGCCATGTCACTCCATATTCCTGACCAGAACTTTTTTACGTCACGTGAAGTAATCTTGCGTGAACCTCTCATACTCTTCATTTGGTAAAGTTTCCTTGCCGAAGCATACTCTCGAGATAGACGTAAACAATGTTAATTAACAATATAAAGTTGTTATATGTTAGGTATATGTTATAATGTTCCATATTTTGTCATGTGAAATTAATTGCTGATTTTTATGTATGTTACACTTTAAAGTTCCTGTGTTTCCCTAGGAATTGATACTGATAAAAATGCCAATTAGGTAAATCAGTCTAAAATATTGTTAATAGAAAGCATGAAATAATAAACTACGTAAAAAGCTATGTATTGTATTTTTAAATATATTTTCAAGATATGTAAGGGTTTAGATTAAATAATAAAACAACCAAGAACTGGCAGCAGTATTGTCGGCTGTGACGAAAACAGCCGGCCAGCCGAGCGCCTGAGCGAAAATATATCGAACGCTTCTATAGGTTCTTTAATAGGAATATTTATAGGCTAACTTTTTTAGTGTATTTGAAAGAATATTTTATGTTCTACAATTAATTGGTATTAACAGTTTTCCTTATAACAGCAAACCAAAAGGATACTAAATGAAAAATGCTAATTATGGATGTTACAATACATCAAAATAAATAAGTTGTAAATTAGTAAAGAAAAATAAAAGAAATAAAGGAACACATTTTTTATATGTATAATATCTAGCTTGGAGTATACAAAACAATTTTATGCAAACAGGAGGTTTTTAAGTTAATTAGTTTACTAGTAACACCCATTACCGTAAAGGCTTGCATAAATCCAACATGGCCGACTTATTTTTCAAAATGGCGGAAAAGTCCCCATGGGATTTTCTGGGACTTTCTTCTTTGGGTTCAGGAGACCTTAATAAATGATTTCCAACCGGTTTCAACTTTTTTTTTATTTCCTTACTCAAATGCTAATACTGGACTATACGGACAACAACAAAATTATCATAAATAATGTGTCTATAAATATATATCATTTAATAAATAAAATTATTAGTTTACAATTTAGTTTAATTTACAATATTCAATAATTTAAAATAACTGAATCAAAGTAATAATATATTTAATTCTACAGAAAATAAATCCATATACGGTTAACGGCCAGGGTCCATGGTAGCGAGTTGTTCTCTCTCCACCTCAGTGTGGTGGCGGGTTGAGGTGGTGACTGGTTGACGTCTACGTGCAAGTTGGCGCGTTGGCGGCACCGAACATTGAGCGTACACGTCAAACCGCCACCTCGTAAAACGGGTTGACGGGGTGGCACGTTGTCGCCTACGTGTGAGGTGGCGGGTTGACGACATAGAACATGGAGCTTCACGGCGGGTTGTCGTGGTGGCATGTTATCGTGGTGGCTCATTGACGTGAGTGTGCACGACAACCCGCCACCTCGGATAAATGTGTGGTGGTGGGTTGTCGTGGTGGCCTGTTGTCGAGGTGGCGGGTTGGCGTATACATACACGTCAACCCGCCACCTTGGTTTTTTGTGGTGGTGGGTTGACGCCTCTGACCAAAACAACGAGGTGGAGTTTTGACGTGGTGGCAAATTGACAGCAGCGACCCGTTTTATCTATGCCCAAATTCAATGCCAACACAATAAAAGACTGTTTACACTATGTGATATCCATGCTAAATATCAGCACGGTTACTCTGTGGAACCGGCTCATGTGCTGTGACCTTTTGTTTTTTTGTTTTTTTTTATATTTAGTTGTAGGCTAGTGAGTGTCATTTTGGTTCTGTCAATTTATTTTGCGAATGCGAAGCGAACCCTCAACCCTACCCTCCTATCCATCGGTGTTTGAAGTGATGTTTTGGCAATATTCAATGTTTTTGTGAACAAAAAGGATCTTGAATTACATATTTTTATTATTATTTATTCTGTGCTTCGTAAATCGGTTATATTGTAGGCCTTCTTTTATTTCAAAGCTACGGTAATTAAAGGTAATGGGGTTTTTGTATTTGTGCATTCTTTTGGTGTCCTAGGTTAAGAATGGGTCTATTACGTAAGAAATGTCTGATAAAACCTGCGTCTAATTTATTTAATTGTTAAGTTAGTGAGAGGACATACATTTAATTTTATAGCCTAGATCAGATGTAGTCCTAATTTTAATGTTTGTAGCCTATTACTTTTAATATTTAATACTTTTTGTAGCCGGGTACTTTTAATACTTTTCTTTGAAATGACTTTTCTATAAGTTAATGCCTGTAACTTTTAATCAATTCCTTGTGATATAATATTTATTTACCTAAGACTAAATACAAGATGTATTTACTAACTTAATGAATGACTTGTCTATTCATGTATAGGCCTACATATAAAAGTAACTAATAAATGTCTTATGTCTTAACTTAAAAGCTCTCCAGACACATTAAATACCTATAATAACTTATTTAAGCCTATCACGCTTAACTTATTACTGCCTAAGTTAGTTAACGACCGTGTCAATGAAAAAATTTATTCTGGTAGACTTCCATATATGTTGGCACAAACAACCGAAAGAAAATATTGATTATTCGATTATTTCATTTGATATTTTCATTCGGTTGTTTGTGCCAACAGATACGGAAGTCTACCCATTTATTCTAAAGGGTGTTTTAAAAATATAAGTTAGGTAACTTTTAACAGAAGAGTGCAAAACTGTTTTTCAACTCAATCGTAAGTATCGAGAGCGTAAAGTTAAGTTATCAATTCAATCGTTAACTTAACCAAACTTAGCTTAACCAAAAACCAAACTTCTACATTGATTGTAACAATAAATCAAGAAGTATGATGGAATCGGATATTAAAGTTTTGCTAAGTAGAAAAGAATGACTCCTCAAATTGGTTTTTGCTGTAGAGTTTGTTCAGCAGCAAGCATTATAAACAACCAGCTCAAACTATAGGCCTAAGGGATGGAATGAAAAGCAGTGGGCTAAGCTTATAGTTTGGAAGTTAGGTTGGATTAACTTTCCGAGTGTAGTTGCTGCAGCGACACATAACACACTTTGTGTAGTGTTTTGTGTCGCTGCAGCGACTCACAAACACTGTTTACGGCGAAGGCTCTATGACTGACAAAATCGGATTGAACTGGATCGAGTTAGGTACCGGTATCGTTTTATTTTACTGATTCAGAGCTTTCTCCGGAGGTCTGTCTCTAAGCGCTATTCATTTAAATTCCGAAAATATTGTAGCAGACAGCTGACGTGCGTATTTGTAAACAGCTTGGTTATCCTCGGACCGATGACTGATGTGTTTTATTACGTTTATCATTGTTTTAAGTGTTAAAAATCAAAAGTAGTGATATACGTGGTGCATTATAAGAAGATTTAAGTGATTTTGAAGGGCTGGTTGATGATCCTGAAGAAGTAGGTAGTGATATTGATGTAAATTATCAGCCAGATTCCTAGCTATGGTTAGGCTATGCATTCTTAGCTAAACGCTATGTACTGAAATCTGTTTTTTGCCCATAACTTATTTATTTGCAAATCTACTTCCTTACCGTATATTATTATATATTTTTAATCCTCATAAAATTTAGAACAAAGTGGCTATTTTCAAATATTTATAGGCCTATAATTTATACAATTTCATTGAGCGCGAACTTATTTATTTATTTTTTTTTTTGAAAATTTTCCAAAATATTTTTTTTTTTACCGGTACCTAAAAAAATTTTTTGAAACAAATGTTCCTTATGTTCTATCTATAATATTGAAGCCCATGATTTTCCAAACAAAATGGTATATAGAACAGTAATTAACATTGTTTTTAAGCTTCTCAGATCCGTTTTAGTAAATCCTTGCAAATGAGCAAAAAATAGGCAGACATTAAGGCCAAAACAAGGGACACTCGGAGGGTTAACACTAATACCGAAACCCTACCCAGGCTGACGCTAACCAAAACCCCCGGTCTGTGAGACCCCATTTCAAAATAATGGGACCGCTTAGAAACACACAAACCAAAACGCTGGGCTTCTGAGACGGGCATTTTATGAATATGTAGACAATCTTTTAAGGTCACGGCACCCACACAAAATGAACAAACAATATATATCAACAGGTAGGGGAGGAAAATGGGGAAAGGTATTTGGGGGATGGAATCTCCCAAGTAAACAGTGCTGCCAGACATGCGTTTGTGAAAATTCCCGTGGGTCTGTCAGTGGGTTTTGGTATTAGTGTTAAGAAGGTAAAGTGTAGGTTATAGGCGATTGGGGTTTTTTACTGATGTTACACCCATGCAGACGTGCCCATCCTCCCCAAACCCAGTGGCGCAATCCCCCCCCCCCAATTTATGCTGCCCTCTATTTCAACCTCCCCTCCCCCCTCCAACCACATAAAACGAGCATTTCAAGTACCGGTACCTATTTAGTAAACATGGGGTAAAGAAAAACAAACTTGCTAATAATCCAAATTAAATGTATAATATGAAAACGCCATTTAACAATACAAAGTTATCTAATTAATGGACGAATTATAAGTTTTTCAATTTACAATTCGCACCTGTATTGTCAGCCGACACGTGCTCAGTATTAAAATAGGCAACGTCTTCAAAACGTTCAACAATATACTCGGTGAATTACTCTACTCCAACACAGTAGCCTACTGTAACTGTACAATATATTTAGGTGGTGTAAATTTTTATAGGGCTTAAGAATTCAAATAACTTTTTTTAAGTGCACGAATAATACTTTGGCAAAAAGTTTCTTGTTTCAAAATTAGGTCACAAAATAGGGCAGACTGGGAGGCGTTGCTCGCCACTCCCATGCTGCCTTTTACTTATACTGTAGTGATGTGCGTATCGATACAGATATCGATACAAGGACCGCAAAATATTGATATTTTGTATCGTTGGTGTGGGAGTGTATCGATATGCCCGTATCGATACGCCTATAGCCAATATCGTATTGTTTATTTATTAATATAAATCATATTTTTATGGTAAGAAATTTGTCTTCCCATCTTCCTCCCCTCAAAAGTAGTGGTGGAAATTTTATATTCTACCCTAGCATCTTCAAAAACACCAATAAAACATGTATATTCAGCTATGTTTTGCAAAAAACCTCAAAACTAGGGCACGGCTGTGGCCTTCGAACTGGCAACGTCGCAAGTGGTGTTGTAACAGCTGTTTTTGTTTGGAAGTAGGCTAGCTAATGGTATTTGTGTATTTACGAAAGATTGGTTACTGGACTGACAATATTGACTTCGCTTAAAAATGTACAGGTATAGATTTTAATTCATATTGTTTCGGGTTTCAATTCTGTATGTTTTATTTGCAATATTTTAATAAATTTATGTTCATAAATTTAAATTTAAATCATTAAAGTGTGAATTAATGAGCTGATGTCACCTGTCTGCCATGTTATCTTATGGGACGTCTGTCACTGAACAACATACCACTTGCGATGTTGCCAATTCTACCAGGCCGCGGCCTATAGTTAAAGTCGGCCGTGACTAGGGCCACCATTAATGGAAGTGGGGACCCTCATTATCCATATTATACTATTTAATGTGTAAGTGGCATACCCACCATCATTATTAGTACTTTTTGGTTCAATTCATTATCCCTGTGTAAAAACTAGGAAAACAATAACAAAATGTTTTCAAATTTTGAGGGTTTACCGGAATTTGGAGGTTATGTATGTATGTTTGATACAAATAAAAAGACACAGGAAGGAAACGGCTTTTCTGAGATAAGATTACAAGCACTAACCCTCTTTTCAAGCTTGTAAGTAACATAGTATTTGTCTATGCAGCTTGTATATTTGAGATATTTAAACTAAAAAAAAAATATATAAATAAACAATACGATACGATATTTGATCAGATACAGATGAAAATCGATACATGAGGATACGATACGATACTTGTATCGATACACCACGTTCCGATACGAATCGATACGCAGTATCGATACATTGACCCGTATCGCCCATCACTATTATACTGTACATTAATCACTGGGCAAAATACCCACAATACCTTAATTGCTACCAGCACCACAAAAGGTTTTGTGACGAAGTACTGTAATCTTATTATTAATTTTGATAGCACCAGCATTGTACATTTGAAGTTTCTTCATATTTACTCATTTTCATGACAATTGGACTTAGGTACTTAAAAAAAAAAATTGTAAAGGGCTAAGTAACTTAGTCCCACACGACTTGTTTGTTAACAAAACACGCTGAGTATTTTTTTACCATAAGAACATGTTTGTTTAAGTGGCTCTTTACATTCCAAAATTTTTATCCTGGATGGAAACGAACCAAATAAGCATAAAACATTGATCTCTACTCAAATGCACAATAAACTAAGAAATTCCAGCCCTAGTTTACAATAAGTGCCCCAGTTATTCACAATTACCCACATTCATCCTAACTCAAATGTGTCTATTTAATGCTGCTTATTTAAAAATTAAATTCATAGCTATCTACTGTAGTTAAGATCCTGCCAGTCATCTGATTCAATGATCTGGTCTTAGGCGTTGTTACTCCAGTTAGGAGAAATTATCGTTGATCAATCGTCCAAATCTTGTCTCAGAAGGTCTGGTGTGCAATCTTTGAGGATCATAAGTTATCTGTCTGTGACAGAGGTTGATTAGGAAGGTCCATCTAAAATAAATTGAAAATTGGACTGCTCAAATGAAAGTTGAATATTATTGTTTACTTTAAAACACAGTGTAACTATCACTATTTACAGACCATGAGTCCAGCACCGGGAATATCAAGTGGTGAAGAGCCTAAGTCCTCAATGACAACCAACATCCTGGATGAGTATAGAAATGAAGCATGTTTTAGCTGGGAGAAAATGAGGCTAAATATAGAAGACCCTGAACTACTCGAAGTTAAGGTAGGTTTTAGAACAACAACCGGCTTAAATAAGTTATGTTTGGTGTTTTATGCAAATTAAAATTTTCTCTTTAGATAAATAGATTTGTAGGCTTATATTGTGAAAGAATAAAGGTATGTAGGCCTAAATACCGTGTTTCAATAATGCAACACAATTTGTGCACACTCCTATTACTGTGCTTATTTAGTGTCATTTATGGCCATCAGTCAGAGCTTTGCATGTCAAATTTTAACCACTCATTGGGTTTTTATTCTTCAAATCGTTGTAGCAATGATGCAGCAATGATCATTGGCAATGGCAATGCATGCAGTGTTAGGCCTAATTTGTAACTACACTACAGTCCCACTGTGATTTAAAAAGATTTAAAAACAACCTTACAAACAGTGCTTTGTAAATACTCAAAGAGTCAAACAAACATTCAATACATGGCAGCTAAATTGTTTAATAATTTATCAGTGGAGTCTCGAGAGTTGTCCTTGAACACTTTCAAATCAAAAATGAAAACATATTTAATACAAAAATGCCCATATACAGTGGAGGATTTTTTTACATGTCAAAATATTTTTATTTAATTGTGCCTGTATTTATACATTTATAGATTTTTTTAATTCTAGATCTTATTATATTGATTGATTACATGTAAGTATTCATTTGCTGTATTAATAACAGCATTATGTATTTTATGACGATTATTAATGCATTGTGAAATGTCTACAACAATAAATTGATTTGATTTTATGCTAATCCACCAGTCACCACTGGTGATGTTATTTCAGTTTAATGAAAGTAAATTCTATAATGGTTATAAATGGCTATAATAATTAAACCTAGTTTCATAACCTATTGTATATATTGATTGTAATTTAAATGGTTTTTTTAAGTTTAAAGTTTGGCAAATACTGGAGCACAACCCATTGTTCAAACAATGTCCGCTTCAAATACGAACATCTGAGGAGGAAAAGAGACTGACAGGAGCTCAGTTGGTGGCGTTTCATCATTTGGGTGTGTTTGACAACATCCACCAGCATAGCTACAAGACACGAGTGAGTATTTTTGTTTTTCTTTAGCGTCACTCTTCTGTATAAACTTACCTACTATCTTAATAATTTTGGTGTGGTCAAGATAATCAAATAAGTAGGCTAGGTACTTATTTTCCAAATATTTGTCTAAAATATTAGTTTACACATCATTAAAAATAGAAAAAATTTGGTTATACATTACCTTTTATCAGTTCCAAAAGTAACCTTCGTCAATGTGTTACATGTTTCGGCGAGCTGCCATTGTCAAACACTTCATTACAGGAATATATAAATCCGCTTGAATAGCTTCTCATAACACATTACCGAATGTATATGTGGTAAATGTATTGTTACAAACAACATTTACACACGACATAAAAATAAATACTTTTAGTTTGATAGGTCTATCACTAGTATACAACATTGCGGGTACACGAGCGGGAACAGACTGTCGGTGGCAGTGGTGGTTCCAGAGAGACAGGGGCCATGCCTACCATACTGACGTTTCTACAGAGTATTCACTGTAGACATGTGCGTTCAAGTGTATGATACATCAACAATGTCGCAGTGTCGCATACGCACCCGCCCAGCTGGGAAATGTCGTACAGATATCATCTATATTATAACTTAATACGGAGTATGCTTAATCTAATACTCCCCTGGATACTGGCGCGCTGTGTGGTGGAAAAACGGGCCGTGCACACCATTCGAAATGGTGGGATACTGAGGCCGGCGGGCGTATGAACCTCTCTCTTTTACACAAACTACATTCTTTCAACCTGCTCTCCTACACTTATTTTTTTACATAAAGATTTCAAATTTATATGTTTTTTTTTAGGACAGTACTTATTATTGTGTAGTTAGTTTGAACCTTAACATATTTTTTTTATAGTTTATTTAGGCAAATTAAGATTGATGGTCGATTTTAACACCACTAAAAACGTCAAAAATGTAGTAAGCGAGGAACTTTTTTATTTTCTGAAACAATCATTGTTGAAGGAATACAATGCGCGTCGACATTATGAAACAAAACATTTAAAAATAGATGGGTGAAATTGAACGGTAAAAACAGAAAAAGTTTTATCAATGAAAAATGGAAGTTTTGCACTTAAACTCTCCTTTTCAGATTACAAGAGATTAAACTTTTTCTTCCTCAGAGTGCTTAAAATGTCTACTTTGTAAAGTATAATTTTAGCGAACTTCCCTATAGGGAAGTAGCTATTACCGTAGGTGGCTCGGTAAAACCTAGGCCCGGGACCGATTTACTTTTTCATTTTGATGTCCCCAGAGGCCAAAAACACCATTCGTTCAAATTTGTATATGTGTGTGTCCGTGAACGCGATAACTTGAGTAATTTTTGTCCAATTTTGATGAAATTTGGTTTAAAGGTGTAAGGCCAGATAAACTTGAATGAGTTCGCGAACCAGCATGATCGGACCATTGGAACGGGGATTCCCGGTGGGTTTTATGGGGTAAAAATTGGGTTTTCTCATTTCTGACTCCCAAAACACAAAATTTCCCAATTTATCTCTAGACCATATAAAAGAGATTAAAAAAATTAATTTAGTATATCAAAGTGTTTTTGTACAGTTATTGGTAACGGAGAAAATTCAAAAAATTTTAAATTAAAAATTCCCATGTTATTCTTATGAAGAATATTGAAAATGTTGTGGTTTGTTTGTTTATGGATATATTTTGATCAAACTAGGCAAATTTATTTATTTTATACTAAGCTATTAATATTTTACTAAAACATACTTTATTAGTTTCAGTTTCCTTGTAGCAGCAAACCTAGGTACTCGTTAAACCTAAATAGATTCAATTGAAAATCATTCGGAGAAATGGAAATTTGCTTAGTTGGCAGGTTTGCTGCGGCGGGGGTATTTCCTAAATTTCCGGGTCCTCCCCACCCACAATGGGGGGTTTTCCATACCCCTGAAACCCCCTGGAAGTTATGGCCATGCTGGCTTAGAATTAAAATCCCCCCCACACCCTCGATAGAATGGTCCCCTCCAAAAATTTGCCCTGGAACCGCCCTTGGTCGGTAAAGGGTTCAAGTCAGCGCTATCTGGTTGAATTATTGTCGTTATCTGTTGTGGTCAGCTGATCAGATTTGTTTCCTTGTTGTAGTAGTGTGTAAGCTCCTTACATAAAATTAATCTTATATAGCCTACTAAAAAACTTTTGCAAAACTTATGACAGCTAGCCTGACCATACTACTGGAACAAATTACATGCGCTTGGTACCAAATAAAAGATATTTTTGTTGTGGTTCTGTTTTTTGGTTAGGCTATATAGTTTTTTCATCAAAAATTGTTTAATACATTTTATTTTGATTGTTGTTTTTATAGTAAAAATACCTTGTAGATGTGCAGAATCTCTTTATAAATTAGACAGGCTCAAAAATAAGCATGAAAAATGAATTTTAAATCTGTAAAAAATTAACATGGGCTTTATGGGTTGCCATGCTGGTGACAAAATAACAACAAAATATAAACAGAAAATCCAAACAAATTCCAATCATATGTTTTATTTACAGTGGGGGGTGAAAGTAGAGAAGTCCGTACATTACATATTTTTGGTTGAGTTTTCGACCATGGGGCGGCCTCTAGGAACCAATATAAAAATAAACTTTCTTTTGTGGAGATACTGGACCGATAAGGAGATGGAATTTAGCGATTACAAAAGAGTTATGACTGTTTTTGGACAATATGCCGGACATGTTGAATTGTATAGTTTAGGTGATTTGTATCCCGATTGTGTCTTCAAAGTGCATTGTGAAATTACCAATTTTGTTAAATTAATAAGTCCTTAAATTGATTCTTGTTATAAACTGTGTATGATTTAATAGTATATTACGTTACTAGTCCTGAAAATAGGTGCTTACCGGTCAAGTGTGGTTGTTCCTGTGCGAGACAAAGTCGATAGGGGATCAACATACGAGTCCGGTAAACACATTTTGGACGAGTGACGTACGATATTTTACCCCATACTACTAACAACAACAAAAAATATTGCTGTCTAAGCTAACTTAACAATAAACGATCTGTACAAATCCTTATATATTCCCACCGACTAAAGGACTAAGAATCACCACTCATAACTTATGTTATGTTTTTGTGGAAAACCACTCATTGCCAAATATAATCAGCTGGTTGGTGTCTAGTAAAAACTCATTACAGGACAGTAGTACAACGAACCCCCATTTGATTAAACTGGCGGCAAACAGCTGTTTTCTGGACTAAATCCTTGTGTGGGATGGAAGGTTTGTTAAAACAGTGTAGTGTGGCGTAAAATTAATTATGATTTAAGGTGATATTTTTATACATGGGGATTTTCAAGCACTTACGAATTTCTCAATTAAATCTTGATTCTAGTTATCCATGTTCAATTCATAGTCATAGTGTAGTTAAACTTATGTATGATTCATTATTCATATATTCCTCCCAATCATTGTGAAATTGTATGACTGTGCTTTTATCTTATCAATAGGCGTAGAACAGATAATGAGCAACTGCCAACATGTGTTGGCATGAAGGTGAATCATGCTGCATTATAATACTGTATCTGCACTTACGTAATTGTAATTGATGTTACAACATACTACTTGTTCCTGGATTAAAAAATAGTAGAACAATTGTTAAAGTTTAATCACTAGGCCTACTATTCGTTATAATGTGGTACATGGCTATTACTTCTAAAAAATTTCAAAATTCCTATTATAAGCTTCTGAAAATCAAAATAATTTTAAGAGTTTGGTCTAAAAATCTATCACATAGTCTACCCAACTTTTCTTTAAGTGTTCAAGTCCTATTCATACTGTGCATCAATTAATACTAGAGGTTGTCCAGTGGTCGAAAACTCGACCAAGCATATGTAATGTAGTAACAGACTTCACTATTATTAATACATTTCAAAAAGGCATCATCCAAAAAATTGTTTTGTAAAAAAATATAAAATGGCTGCTGTCCAGGTATTTTTGACTAAATCAATAGAGTTAGAGTTACCTTTGTCAATCAGCTCATAGTAGTTGTAACATTGTTACGGCCATTTCAGCATCTCCATGCCATCATCAGACGTTCAGCCTTAGGGGCGTCGTTAATATACAAAAACACAAACTGTCACACGCGACGTACACATACATAAACATAAACGGGGGTTTTTGACTAAACAGGCCTGTTGATTACACATATCCGCACTCGAGCAAGTAGCTGGCTGGAGTCATTCTTGCGGTGTCATGTCAGCGGCGGCATTATCATTTGTACTTTGCCCTCTTGGTCTTGAATCCTTCCTCTGATTTAAAATACTATTGAAAATTACGTGTGATTTGAATTGTAGTTTGTCATTTAAAATAAGTTCGCTATTGTCATTTTTTGTATGTGCTTTGTAAATTTCAAATTCTTTCAGGGTGTCCAATTTATTGCGCAAAGTTTGTTGCACGAGATCATAACCGAAAAGCTTTGTTACCAAACTGTAACCAAAGAGTCCATTGATTTTTTTTTTTTTGGCACGCACTTCACAGTTCCCGGCATTTTCAATTAACACAGACATTTTAAACTGTCACAGTAACTCAACGGAGTACAGCAGAAACCTCTTACTAGCACAGCTAGATGCCGACTGAGCTGCATAACGAAATAACACCAAGATGGTCGCGCTAGCCCCACCCCTAGCGGATACAGACAAAAATGTAATCTACTTTCTGGATAGCCCTCGTATTTCAAAGTATTTACAAATTTTTAAGTGTCCATTTTTAACCTTTTTAAGCTCTGTAGCCTTCCGCTGTTAACAAGATTGTGAAGAGGAATTATTCTTGTTTACAATTTATCCTAGATTATTTTTAACGTATTTTGCACAAAACATCATAGATTTTAAAAACTGATTTCATTAAAACAAAAAAACTCAGCCAATTTTTCAATTCTATCCAAGTCCGATGCTTAAAATGGTGTAACTTTTTACTGTACAAAACAGGGACTATATTGAACAGTTTGGAGTCACAAGTTAACTTTCACTTTGGATGTTGAGGTTTATGTCTAAATGCACTAGACTATTAGTGTTACTAAACAGTTGCTTGAATGAAATCAAAGAGTACCTCTATGTTATAATACCCCCGCTGCAGCAAACCTGCCGAGTGCAGACTAAGTGAATTTCCATTTGCCTAGATTCATTTCCAATTAATCTATTAAATTAACATTTATGTTTCACGAGTACCTAGGTTAGCTGCTACAGGGAAACTAATAAAGTGTATTTTTTATTAAAATATCATTAGCTTAGTTTGAAATAAATAAATCCGCCAAGTTTGATGAAAATATATCCATAAACAAGCCAACTACAAAATTTTACAATATTCTCCATAAGAATAACGTGGGAATTTTAAATTGAAATTTTTTATTTTCTCTGTAACCAATCGCCGTACAAAAACATTTTGATATAGGCTACTAAATTATTTGTTTTTTTAAGCTCTTTATAAAGGTCTGGAGAAAAAATTTATAAATTTTGTGTTTTAAGGGTAAAAAATGAAAAAAACCCATTTTTACCCCATAAAACCCCCCGTTAAACCCCATTCCCATGGTCCGATCATGCTGGTTCGCGAACTCATTAAAGTTTATCCCGCCTTACACCTTCAACCCAATTGTTATCAAAATCGGGAAAAAATTACCTACTCAAGTTATCGTCTGGATGGACACACACACACACACATAATATACATAAATATGTATATATATATATATATAACAATTTGAACAAATGGTGTTTTTGGCCTCTGGGGACATCAAAATGAAAAAGTAAATCGGTCCCGGGCTTAGGTTTAGCCATGAGACCTAAGGTAATAGCTATTTCCCTAAAACTAAATTTCCCATAGTTTACTTTAATATCTAACATGCAGCTGTTTTTTTAACCGATATTTTTGAACTTGAGGTCGTTTGAAAAATTTTAGAAGTTCGAGGTTACCTTTACTGTATACTGTTTCTTTTTTTTCATTAATCAACGGTACCGTAAGTGGGTAAATATAAATATCATGACCTACAGAACGGGTAAAACGTTATATTGCTTTTGCCGTTTTACCATTAACCAGCGATTTGTTGTTGTTTTTATGTTGACGAAATGTGTGTTTTTATAGGCATGTGTTTTATTAACAGTAGGTGGTGAAACTGCCCGGCACTTTTTTCTACCCTTTATACATGGTAAAGACAAAAAAATTAAAATCAATAAAGCCTAATAAGTATAGTTTCAAGTAGCCATCAAGTTCATTTTTGACCTGGGTATATTTAGTTCTGTTTGTCTGGTACAGACCAGGTATATAATGACAGTCAATGAAGCCACCAACATGTACAGTCCCAGCCTGTCTATCAAGTTTGCTCTGGGAGTGTCTTTGTTTGCCAACGCCATCCTCAGCCTAGGAACTGAAAGACATAAGAAGTTCTACCAAGACGTCTGGGATGGAAAGGTACTTTTAAGTTTATCAGCTCTAGAATTTGCAGTAGGCCTATGTTTGAGTGTAACCCAGAACCCTCAATAGAGTTCTTAAGTTTGGTGTTCTAAATTCCATTAGTTCACCCTAGCCTAGGTAAGTGTTTTTTACGGAGATGACATAATTATTGTAAAAGTATAATATACTTTATTATACCTGCTTTAATATACCTGCTTATATTATAAGCTTACATCAGAGTCATTATGTGTCTGTGGAAACAGCTACAAGATAATTAAACTGTGCACGTTGAAATAATAATTTGATTTTTATTCCAACATATTTTGCATAGTGATAATAAATTGTATTCATTTACAATAAAATAACCAAAAGTATTTTGCTAATATATTTTGCTAATACCTGATAAACATTCCAGCCACAATAATATTACCATAATAATTTTAATCCCAGATACATGTTTAGATCTAACTTCTTAAACATTTATCATACCACTACTATAAGTTAATTCCTAATTATCTATAACTTGAAATAATTCTGAGTCAATCTAATTGGGCATTAAAAAATGTGTTAATCAGAAATATTCTGTCTGAAGTTCATACACTGAAATCTAAAAAGTAAAGTTAATCTAGTAAAGTTAAGTTTTATTTCAACTATAGTTGCTGTCAAAATTAGTTTAAACAAAAGAATATTAATGTTATCATTTTCTCTTTACTATATCTATCCCACAATAGTATACAAATTGTTGATCTGCAGATCCTGAGCTGCTTGGCCCTGACAGAGCTGGCACACGGGAGTGACACCAAGAGACTGCGGACGACAGCTACGTACGATCCTGTGTCACAACAGTTCATCCTACACACGCCCGACCACCTCGCGGCCAAGTGCTGGGTCGGCAACCTAGGTACCTTTCCCTAACAACAACCATGTTTATTTGTGTTTAAATTTTGTTATTGGCATTTTAACATTTTTCCTGTCAGGGAAGGGTCTTGTTACTATCAGATAGCATTATTAATAATTGCCCAATGACAATGTATCATCTATCTGACTGTATGCTGATGGTGTTTTTGCATTAATCAATTCACACTACGGGGCCTTCTGTGAATAAAGTCCTAATATAAAAAAAATCTCAGGATTCTAGCTGGCATAGGTCCCTTGAAGCACTGTAAGCCTTTGTTCAAGGAATTCCAGATCCTCACAGTTACTAATTTGTATATTCTGAAATGGCTACCTATATAGTTGGAAGACAAATATAAGTTGTTACCAAACTGTAGGTTGCTGAAATCAGTATAAAACTAGAAATTGCTCAAATCTAGACGTTCCTAGGTGTATGCTGTCAAAGTCTGTAAATAGCTAGCCAGTAACTGGCTTAAATGTTTAACAGCCTACAAGCAAGCCTGAAAAACGCTACCAGAAAAACTGTTCCAGCAAAAGATAAAATTGTGCTTGTTGGACCAACCCATGCTATTCTTTGCAGAAGTTTTTATCATTGTAGAAAACTGTAAGTAATGTATAAAACTAGTAGTGGCTGATAGGGGCCAAAAGCCCCTAGACTATACTAAAAAAAAAAATACTACGGTACAAAAAAGACAAAAAGTTTAAATGTTTAACATATTATTTATTACTTTTGTTTTGTTATTATTACATGTGTTGAAATGTCCATCCGTCCATATGAAATGAAGGGCTTGGTAGTGTTTGACCATATTTTTCATCAAACCTACATTATGGGGGGTATGTCATTTTCATTCCAAATATTTTCTCTTAACTCAAAAGAACTTGTATTTATTTCTGTTTTTGTGAGGACGTCCCTTACCTTTTGTAATAATGGAATTATTAGGTTTACCTGTTGTTATTACAGGAACACATGTTGTTGCCATGTTCTCTTATATATTTAGTGCCGGTTTTAACTTTTTCTGTTCCTTTTCCTTTTCATCCACAGCATTTATCTTCCTTTTTCTCATGTTGTTTAATCTTTTGTATTTTTGAGATGGGGTTTCTTGACTTAAATAATCTCTCATATGCACTTTATTCTTTCTAGGCCTGTCTTCTTTTGATTTCTTTTTTTTTGGCAAGCAGACGTGGGGATTATGTTGCTCATTTTTCGGTTGAACACAGGCAAAAGACGGTGTAAGACGTCAAAATGACTGTTGTTAAGTTCACCAGGAAATTACAGGCGCTTTGCAGGGTGGTGTTCCTGTCCAAGCACACGGAGAACTGCCCCAGTTCGCCAGACTTTAAACCTGAAAGGGTAGAGTTCTCCAGCAGCCTGGAGCTCACAGGATGTACTGTAGGTTCCATCTTTCCCCATTTAATTTCTGTAGTCGTCGGGGCTAGTGTGTCCCTCGATTGTACAGTATATGGGCTGAAATCTGTCCCAGCTGGCTACCACATAGTTCACTATTTCGGTTCTTAAACTTAAACTGAAGCTATGTAATCCATACAATAACAGTGATAAACATGTAGACAGGAGATTTCCACCACCAATTACAGGAATCAAAACGTGAGGTTCACCGTTAATGTCCATAATTAAAAATAAAAGCTAAAACCTAAAAACTCTGTTTCTTAACTAATCACCGTACTATATAAACGTTAAAATGCAATTTTTACCAAAAACCATTGTAATCTAGCTGTAAAATTTGCCGTTTATGACCATTTTTTTAGATAAAAACTCATGTTTATGTTTTAAACCTGACTTTTACAATAAGTGTAAACATTAAAAACAAATAAGTAACAGCTGTTTAGAAGTATAATTTGATTTTGTGTTCCTTTTTTTGTACTTTTGTATAAGGGTTTAATTAGATTGAAAAGAAAAATCAGGCGACGTCCATCTCTTCCCTGTCTAATTTTATTTGGTATTTTCCTGTTAAAGGGAACATTCATTATTATCGATGATTTTCAATCGATATATCAATATTAACGAATTGAAACCTATCAGCTGATAACTACAATAAATAAATATTGTTCAGTATAAAAAAATATTTAAATGAAACTGTTCCAAACCAACCTAACAAAACCAACCAAACTTGTAACATTTAAAAATTTCCGTTTAATCTTCCCCACATGCCTTTTCTGTAATCAAACGGAATTTTTAAAATGGTAGGCCTACAGCAAGTTTGGTTGGTTATGTTAGGTTAGCTTAGAAAAGTTTTAATCGATATAATAGACTATATTTTAGCCTAAACAAGATCAGTAGTCATTGTAATGGATTGTAAAGGGAAACAAAATAATTATATCGATTAAAAATCATCGATAATAATGAATATTCCCTTTAACAGGAAAGTACCAAGTATGCCAAGTTTCAGCTTTCTAGGTTGCATAATAAGCTCGGAAATGTATGCAAATACCAAAATTGTACATTTTTTCCTTGACTTAGCCTATTGCCTGATTGTGTTTAATGGCTGAATAAATTGATTTGATTTGAATCCAAATTATCTGACATTTTTTCTTTTATTTACATATTAATATGTATAGTAGAACTCCAATTAACCAAATCGCCAATCATCCGACTCGCTTACTTCAACAATTTTAAAAACGTAAAGCTGCAGTAATAAGTTTCGCTAAATATCAAAGAATTGTTATCAAACAAATTTAGCCCGTGTGTAATTTTGGACTTTGATGCAACACTATTAATTTAATAACAGGTGTAAAACACTTTTACTATGAGACTTGTAAACTGTAAAAATATTCTGATTTCATTAATTATTAATTAAAAGTTCATTTAGTACCGAAAATGAGGATTTTTCTTTGAAATTCCCGGAATTCCGGTAAAACTTCGATTATCCCAATGGGGTCTGGTCCCAATTGATTCGGATAATCGGAGGTCTACTGTATTAATCAATGAACTATACCATCCCTTTCAAATCAATTATCTTGCCATTTTGTCTTGGCAGGCAGACAGTGTACGCATGCTTTGCTGTTTGCTCAGCTATGGACTGGCAATACATGTCATGGACTTCATGCCTTTATTGTACCTGTGAGGGATCCAGACACTCTACTTCCCTATCCGGGGCTTACCATAGGGGACATGGGCGAGAAAACAGGACTCCACGGCATTGACAACGGGTAAATGTTTTAATATAATAAGTAGAGTATATTGCAACTCATGGTAACAATCCTTAGTTTTTTGTTGTTTTTTTCTAAAACCCTATAAATTTAAAATACTTATCACAATCACGATAACATTTCTCTTTAAGTGATTAGAACGTGTAGGCTTAATAGGTAGGTACAAAACAATTTGTAATTAATGTTTTAAAATGCTAACATGTCATTAATGTTTGATGGTTTGGTTGCCATTTTGTATTTGATTTAAAATTACAAAATTGCATCCCACCAGTAACAATTTGTCATAAATAGCCACTGACCAATCTTAAATTAAGTTTACTTTTTCTTTTCCAGCTTTATCTTCTTTGACCACTACAGAATACCAAAGGAGAATTTGTTGAATCGCATTGGAGATATCACTGACGACGGGGAGTATGAAACATCCTTCACTGATCCACAGAGAATATTAGGTATTTTTATTTTTTCTTCCTGATTTTTACTCTCAACTCAACTAAGCTTTTGATTGAACTATAGATATGTAATAGTCAAATCCTTGTCTATTTTCGTTTTGATTTTAAAAGTTACTTTTTGATCTTATACAAAAAAGAAGATGGGACACTTTTAAACACTCCTATAGTTTACTTTTCAACACTGTAGAAAATAGGCCCAAATGGACAAATTTAGCTTAAAACGTTGCATCTCTAAGGATGCTTTCTCAGAAGTAATAAATCCAAGTGTTTTGTCAACTAATGATCTTTTAAACTTCTGGTTTTGTTATGAAATATTTATAGGCTATCTAAGTTTTTTTTCAAAAGCTTGGTTTGGGCTCGGTTTGATAAAAAACACAGGCTAAAACACTCTTGAGTTTTTATTTTAGCATAGAAAACAAGACAATGAAGAAAAAAATTTCATAAATGTCGCTAGGTGACTTTTTGAGGGAAGCATAATAATAATAATTTGCCTAGCGTTCATCACACGCCATATTGTAACAAAGCACATTGCCAACTTGAAGGATAAGAAAAACAACTTATCTGTACAACTGTCATTCACTCACCAGGAGTATTAGTATGGCTACAAAAAAACATTTTACTGATGAAATCTCACACTGCTTACACTTAACAAAACTTCTTATCATTTTCAATGTCAAAAAAACAATAAAAAACAATTATAGCAATATTTACATGCAAAGAATTAAATAAGAACGCCTTCACAAAGGAAAGACAACAACACGCTCCTGTATTGCGGGTATTGCATTGACTTTCTGCAGGCGTTTTTTGTATATGGATACCGATTCCCCCTTGAACCGAATTGTTTATTGGCCACCACTGAATCGAATCGCGATTCGAAGCATCGAACCTAATTGGAATTTTGATGCATTTTCGATGCATCGCACACCCCTACGTGAAATGACTAGAAGTGAGTGAATGAAGTTGCTAGGATTTAGCACTTTCCCACTTTTCTCTAAATAAAACACTTATTGAAGTTGAAATCATGTATGCATCACAGAAATCCAAAACTGACTGAATTTGCAGGTGCAGCGCTAGAGAATCTCTCTGCAGGCCGTGTAGCCATCATGCAGGAAAGTTGCAACAAACTGGCGTGCGCCATCGTAATCGCAGTGAGGTACGCCGTCGTGCGGACACAGTTCTGCGACGTGACTGGCCGAGAACTGCCCTTGCTGGACTACCAACTACACGTAAGCATAGATAAAACGTACTCTCACTCTCCTACAATGATTAGTATAATGAAAGGATAGCTAACTTTAGAAAAAGTCTAGGTAGGTAATAGAAAAGACAGAAGACACACAATATTTTGTTCCCTGGAAGACTTTGTCTAGTGTCGACAAAGAGAGTAAGACAAAAAAGTTTGGACAATTTCTGCCTTACTTTCTTAAGTCTATTAATAATAATATATTTTATTTAGCTATATATTTTAGACTCCCTTCCTTAATATTTCACTCAACCTGACTGCGATTCCAGTAACGTGTGTATATATTTGTAAATGTATAGGCTTATACAATAGTGTAAGTGATAAGATGATAGGTTAAGTAGATACCCTGAAGATGCCACACAAGCTGGTGATGTACACGGGTGCACAGCCAACAACAACAACAAAAAGGTACCTAATCTTATATAGCTGAAGACAGTTTTTACGTTTTGTTCTGTACATTTTATCTAAAGGGTGGTTCTTTGTTTACAATTTGTTTTTTGATTGATATCAAACTTATTTTGAAACTATTTTAACTCTTCTCAGCGGTTTGATAAGTCTTCCTCTTCACACATAAAAAGACACAGCTACGGTGCGCAACCTGTTAGATGGTGGTATCTGATGACAAACTAGGACTTTATAAGGCTGATTATTTGTTAGTTGTTTGGTCTTTTACAGCTGTTCCAAATTGTAGTGAGTGCTGAGTGACAGAGACTGATGTGTTTATTTCATTTTTTCCAACACGAGAGCTATTAAAGGCTGCTACTATGGAAAGTTATGAACTCTATGTATTAGTATAGCCTATTTTGACTTATTTTTAGGCTTGTTTTGTTTTGCCTAAAAATAGGCTGTTTATGTAATAGCTGAATTTTCTTGACTTTTGTCTATTGCATTTGTTGTAAATGTTGAAGGACAATAAAACGTTTCTGATTTCTGATTTCTTTAGAGATTACTTAGTTGTGAATGTGGATCTAAAATTCCAGTTAAGATATTTGTAGATTCTCTTTTGATGATGAAATTAAATTTAATCGTGACTAGCACCAACACCAATGCTGAACAGCAAAGGGCAAAACGAGGGATGGTTTGGCATGATTTGAAAAAAAATACCGTAGCAAAGATCCGGCAGGTATTAAAAAAATCCTATCTTGAAGGGGAAAAACAAGCTCCAGAATGTAATTTGGATGAGAAATTTACTTGTTCTATGATGTGAGTGTAATAGTGGTTCAAGTGGCATAGTTAACAGTACTAAAGCATACTGTAATTAACTTTTAACAATGAGATGTAGTTTTTGGTTTTTGATAGTTCCATCAAAAAGGATCTCATTTTGATTTTACTGTAATATATATATTTACTTTTTCAGCAATACAGATTATTCAAGCACCTCGCTGCAGCCTATGTACTTAAAGTGTTTGTAAGAGACTTCAGCAACCTGTACCTGGACTGTGTGGTTCACTCTCAGAATGGTTCTGATGACATGAAGAATCTGGTAAGTGTATTTGGTATTTTATTTTTTCTTACTCAAACTGATCATGACCAATTAAATGTATTAGTTGTTCCATTTGATAAGTACTAGTGGTAGAAGGATGGACAGAAATATTATTTGTTTTTGTGATAAACACTACTACAGTAGAGACTCCATTATCAAACATAAACTGACTAGGGAAGGTAAGTTAGCAGAAAAGTTAGTTATTACATATAAACTATGAAACTGGTTCAACAGATTTTTTTTTTGTTTTTGATGAAAACGTTAATGTAATTAGTTTTTGAAATATTTAAAAATAAATTATAGTCAATTAATAAAATCCTTTGGATATTAATGAGTTCTGAGTTTGCCACAGATTCTATATCCTCCAATTTTTTTTCCTGTTATCTTTAAGTTTGAGTCATCTGCATAAAGAATTATTTTGCTCTCCCTTTGATTTACTAGAGTTTGGTTCAAATCGTTGATGTAGATTATGAACAAAAGGGGTCCCAAAATTGACCTTTGAGGTACTCCTTTTTTTTAAAGTATTGTTGTTATTCTTGTTGTACTGTTTCTGTAAGAGTGTGTTTATTTCTATATATTGAGGTATGTTTTTTATATGAAACCAATTAATCAATATTGTTAATTCCTACATTCTTTAGAATTTCCAACAATTTACTGTGGCAAACACTATCAATTGCTTTTTTAAGGTCGATAAAGATGCCAATACATGTTTCATCTTTATCTATTGAATTAAGAATGGTTTCCAAAAATTTTGCCGTTGCAGTCCCAGTTGATCTCCCTTTGCGGTAACCATGCTGAGATTCATCTAACAAACCCTTTGTCTCTCTAAATATTCCAATAGCCTTTTGTGCATGGCTCTCTCGTGGATTTTTGAGAATGTTCGTAGCAACGACAAGGGCCGATAAATTGAAATTTGTTTAGGATACCTAACTTTTTTTGTAGCTGGTGTTACTTTGGCTATTTTTGTGTTAAAAAATTCCAGAGACAAAGTATGAATTGATCAGATGAACCATCACCTTGCATATTGCTGGGCCAATAAATTTAATCATTTTTACTGGTACTTCATCCTACCCACATGAAAACTTATTTTATAAGCCATCAATTATTGCTATACATTCTTTATCATGTATAACTACTAATAGTTATACTGTCCCAGCAATTTTCAGATGACAGTTATGAGTGGGATGCACGCTGTCGTCTGCTGCAGTAAGCCACTGGTCTCTTCAATACTAATAGTTATACAGTCCCAGCATTTTCCAGATGGCGGTTGTGAGTAGGATGCATGCTGTCGTCTGCTGCAGTAAGCCACTGGTTACCTCACTACTAATAGTTATACATGTGAGTAGGATGCATGCTGTCGTCTGCTGCAGTAAGCCACTGGTCACCTCACTACTAATAGTTATACAGTCCCAGCATTTTCCAGATGGCGGTTGTGAGTGGGATGCATGCTGTCGTCTGCTGCAGTAAGCCACTGGTCACCTGGGCTACGGGGGAGGCTCTGCAGGAAGTGAGGGAGGCTTGCGGAGGCAATGGATACTTGAAAGGTAAGTCAATTAGTGATAGGCATTAAGATTCGCCCTGAATCAGTCTGTCTAAAGGCTGGTTACACACTGATGTTGTAGCCATCATTTATGTCAGAGATTTGGAGGGACGTCGTACGACTCAATCAGTTCATGTAATCTCTCCAAGAAAGAAACGGGATCATTTCCACCATCAAACTTGAAATTCCATTTTCGGACAAGGTTGCAGATGGCTGAAGTTGTCAGGTCCTCCTCACGGAATCTGTCATTCTGTCCACGAAAATGTGTGCTGGTACGCAAACTCTAGGCCATTTTGTGTTTTGGTAACGTTTTCAAATCAAATCAACAAACTCTGACGATTTCTCTTCTTTCCAGCATGGTCAGATCAACAAGCCTACGTCTCAACGTAGTCAAATCCACTTGAGGTGGGAGCCCTAAGATTTCGATGAAATTGTGCAGTAGGTCGGGTGGGGTTCTTCTGGATGCTGTATCATAGGTGGCAGGGCTTCGCTTCTTGATTGCACCAGTCAGTGAGGGGTCGTCGTCTATTCGTTGATCTTCCTTTTCTTCATCTTCAGAGCAAGCGTCTGGGGTGGCTGCCGTAGTACCTATGCAGGTAGTCGTGCTCATTGTAGTTGAAGTAGTTGCCGTCAATTGAAGTGGAGGTAAAGGTGGAAACTCTTTGGAGTTCTTGAGTTCTTAGTCGTCTCAGATGTCCTCTTGTCCCTCTCGTTTCCCATTTGTATTTCTCATTCCTTTGTCAATTACGTTCGTCCCTAATCGTTTAGGGTCCCTATTCGGGCGCCAAAATTATGTGATGTACTTCAGTGTGAGTCATATGGTTTTTATCACTTGATGCCAGGATCCGCTCAGTCGTTGCTGGGTTTCGTTCCAGGCGTCAGGAAAGAAAGGTTCAATGGGTGGCTCAAATCCTGGGCAGTGGGCAATCTTTCAAGTCATCTACAATATGGCCACACTCATCATAGCCACCGGAAAAGCTGGGTTTTCTCTAGCAGGATATCGGTATATCTAATGCTATGGATTACTCTAGCAGGAATTAAGTTAAAACTGCTAGGATTTCTCTAGCAGGATGGGGTCGTGCTTGGATAGCTCTAGCAGGAGGGGTCTTGTTGGATTACTCTAGCAGGACGGGGGTCGTGCTTAGATTGCTCTAGAAGGATGGGGTCGTGCTATGGATTACTCTAACAGGGTGGGGGTCGTGCTTATATATCTCTAAAAGGATGGAGTCCTGCTATGGATTGCTCTAGAAAGACGGGTGTCATGCTCGGATTACTCTAGAAAAACGGGTGTCGTGCTCGGATTGCTCTAGCAGGACAGGGGTCGTGCTTGGATTGCTCTAGCAGGACGGGTTTGTGCTTGAATTGCTCTAGCAGGACGGGGTCATGCTAGGATTGCTCTAGAGGTGATAAGATCTGGTGTCGGGAAAGTTGCACTATGAAGGTTGCAACACAGCGGCTTAAACCGTGGGGCTGGGAGTGGTATAGGTAAAAACGATAGGACTTGTAAAGGACGGAGAACATGTTTTTCGATATCGGGACCTTTTCTAGGGGACGTAGGCGTGTTAGAGACAAAGTTGGGGGTGGAAAGGTACCAGGGGAGGGTTAGGTAAAGGATCCCTGAAGGGGACCTCTGGATTCATTCGGGGAAATTTTCAAGAGGGATACCGGACGACGCTGAGGGTTTGTTTGGAGGCGACGCCGGTGGTAGAAAGGTATCAGGGGAAGGTGAGGTAAAGGATCCCTGAAGGGGACTTCTGAATTCGTTTGGGGAAACTTTCAGAAAGGATCCTGGACGACGCTGGGGGTTTGGAGGTGACGCCGGTGGTAGAAAGGTCGGGAAGGGAAGTGGAATTCGTAGGTAGCTAGAGGAAGGTGTATTGGGTACAGGGAGTAAAGGGGGCACGTTACAGTATTATAATACCCCCGCCGCAGCAAACCTGCCGACTAAGCGAATTTCCATTTGTCTTAATTGATTTTCAATTAAATATATTTTATTTAATAACATTAGGTTTAACGAGTACCTAGGTTTGCTGCTACAAGGAAACTAATAAAGTGTGTTTTTTTTTTGTAAAATATTGATAGCTTAGTACAAAATAAATAAATTTGATCAAAATACAAAATATTTCCATAAACAAGCAAACTACAACATTTGACAATATTCTCCATAAGAATAACATGGGAATTTTAAATTTACAATTTTTTTAATTTTCTCCGTTACTATTAACCGAACAAAAATACTTTTATATACTAAATTAATTGTTTTTTTAAGCTCTTTAAAAAGGTCTAAAGAGAAATTGGGAAATTTTGTGTTTTGAGGGTCAAAAGTGAGAAAAACCAATTTTTACCCCATAAAACCCCCCGTAAAGCCCCGTTCCCATGGTCCGATCATGCTGGTTCGCGAACTCATTCAAGTTTATCCCGCTTTACACCTTTAAACCAAATTTCATCAAAATCGGACAAAAATTACTCAAGTTATCGCGTTCACGGACGTATATATATATAAGTCTATATATATATATATATATATATATATACATATATAAAAATTTGAACGAATGGTGTTTTTGGCCTCTGGGGACATCAAAATGAAAAAGTAAATTGGTCTCGGGTCTATGTCTTACCGTGCCACCTACGGTAATAGCTACTTCCCTATAGGGAAATTCGCTAAAACAGAACTTGATTGCAGCTTCCTCAATTGTGTCAATTTAACTAGAACTAGGTAAATTATTTTTTACTCTGAAACAGACTATAAATTGTAATGGAGATGGATGTCTATTTCAATACTTAATATATATTGAATATTCTTAGTATATTTCAAAAGCTTTACTTATTACCATGTTTTGATGTTTGATGTTACGATGTTTGATGTCACAGACCTGTTACTACGACTTATCATTTGTTTTCAGCCGCAGGTCTAGGTGAGCTACGCAACAACCACGACCCGACAGTGACGTACGAGGGAGACAACAACGTGTTGCTACAACAGACCAGTAACTGGCTGCTGCGACAGGCCAAGGAACTGAACTCATATGCCGATACATCAAGCTTCCCCCTCTCTCTCATCGGATATCTCGCCTCGGACGCTACCTTCCCAAATGTCTATCACAACCAGCCTGTCACCTGCCATAATTGTAGGTTAGCATTGTAATTACCACAAGTATATTCATTTAGAGCCTTTTTTCAGAGAGGACTGCTATATCACACCTTACCTAAATATTCTTAATATTAAGAGATAGATTTGACACTCTTTGTCTCCATTATTTTATCTTCGGTCATCCGCAAACCAAATTATGCGACTCTCCATGTAGACAATCTGCCAAAATCACCATAGCGACCCCTTGTATAGCCCCTGCCTGTACTTGGAAGATAGTGATTTTTATATCAGTCCTTATAGAAGATTGAATGTAAAACGTGTCTTCGAAGTTCAAAGGTTTGAATAATTCACTTATTTGCAGCGGAAGACTGTGATGAGGTTTCTGTGACCGCGGGAGACAACGCTTACGTCTTCAAACTGCGAAAGATGTTAGGGATTTTGACACAATCGCAGAAGACTATGATGACATTTCCGTGACTGCGGGAGATGATGATGATGACCACGCAGGAGATGTTTAGGATTTTGCTGTGATTGCGGTAGACTATGATGACGTATCTGTAACTGTGGGAGATGACAATAATGTCTACAAACCGCAGTAGATGTCCAGGATTTTGCCGCAAATGCAGAAGACTGTGATGACATTTCTGTGACCGCGGGAGGTGACGACAATGTATGCAAACCGCGGGAGACACTCAGGATTTTGCCACTATCGCGGATGATAACCTTAAGTGAGATTTCAGGATTATGTCGGAGATGATAATGTTTCTGTGAATGATTGAGATATTCAGAATTTTGCTGCTATTGTGGGAGACGATGTTTTTGTGATCTTAGGTGATGATGTTGATGAAAATGATTACTATTATTAACATTAAGGATTATAATTTTTGCAGTAGCTCACTGAACTTTGGAACATCTAGAAATATACAAATGTGATGTGAGAACAAACTTAAGCTGTAGGCCTTGAATTGGTTATAGTTTTGGTGGAACTAAACATTCACAAGGGACAGGCCCGGACTGGGACTATTTGGGGCCCTCAGCTACATGCTGTGAAGGGGCCCTCTTCCGGTGGATTATTTTTTATTAGGTTCTTGTAAACAAGTTTTTTCTCACTATTTTGGCATTTATAAGAAGGAAGAAATTCAGATAGGTATTTATAAAATGTTAGGGTATTTACTTGAACTTAATTATTTATAAAAAAACAATTATTTTTAGGATACTACAACTCAATACACATACTGTAGAAGTGGCAATAAGTGGTATAGCAGAGTTCAAATTAAAGTGCAGTATATTCACACCAAAGTTAATAAGTTTTGTCAACATTGTGTGGTAATAGTAATCACAAAAAGATTTTAGGGATTTGAAAAATAATACTAACAAGACAAAGACTGTAAATCAGGAGGCCTACTTAACAACAAGCAAAAATATTGAACTATAAAATATAAATACACATAACATGAGTCATAAAACATGGAATATTCACAAAAATTACACACACATTCACAATTAATAAGCACTGTCTACAAGCTGAACATTTACTCACAAACGTTTCCAGTATCATTTTCTTCTTTTCATGTCTTTTTGCGCTGTCTTTATGCTGAGTAATCAGCTGATATGATAGATCATCACTTTGCTGTCGTCTGCTAACCACAACACTAGTCACTGCGCAGACAATGTATTACACTACTACAACAACGTCACTCAACTTACAATACGGTAGGCTACAATCGGTTGTATCATTGACTATACACCTCTACGTAGGTACACCTATACGTAGAGGTGTGATAGTCAATGGTTGTATGCCTTTATATAAACGGCGAGATACAAACAGTTGTTAAACACAGTTCTCTAGTTTGGAAAATGTAAACAAAACTTTACTAAGAACATATGATAACTTCTAACAAGCAACAACATTTTCTCGTAATTTTAAGCGTTAAGGGGCCCCTTCGGGGGCCTCCTTGAGCTGGGGGCCCTCCGCGATCGCAGACCTAGCCAGTCCGGGCCTGACAAGGGAATTAATAAAATGTTCAGACGGGTACCTTGAAAAACCAGAAAAAGACCTGGAATTACATTTAAGAAAAATAGTATTCGCCTTGTTTAGCAAGCTTTAAACCATAGGGTCATTATACCTGCATACCTTTCTAACCCCTCACATCTTAGGGTAATGGGGCACTAGCCTGACCACAACCTCAAAAAAAAACTTCAAAAAGCTATGTCAATATAAAGATAAATTGATGGATTACTTCTTAAATATAGGGATAAAACATTAATTGTAAAAATCTAACTGTGACTTTACTTAACAAAAGTAAGCACTAAGCCGCACAAAACAATACAAATGTATTGTTCACCTGATCACCTGTTGTATTGGATTGTTTACTTGATGTTTAGTTTATGTTCACTTCAGTGATGTGTGACTAATGGGATTTACTCAGGGGGCCCACTCAGCCATGTTTCTGTTCTACCTCTTCGATTAGGTAGCCTGCCAACCTGAGACAGGATATACCAGCTTATAGGTTTTAGTTCTGATTGGACAATTCCTTGAAACTTAAGCACTGGCTTTACTAACTTTTTAATTCACTTAAATCTACATTCCTTTGCTTCCAATTTTTAATGTTATTATATTAATGTCAAAGCATAATTAATATCGTTTAATCTAACTAAACATCTAAACAAAGGTCAACATAGATTATTTAGCTTGATAAATAAAACATTCAATCACATTTTTTTATCATCTCCTAATTGAATTGTGTTATTTTGTGTTCCAGTCGTGGAAGAAGCGTTTAACTGGCTGGTCAAATGGTTGCTGCATGCCACTCAAGAGAAAGTTGATACTCTAACAGAGGACACTGACAGATTCACTGCCAGAAACCATAGTCAAGTGTTCTACGCTCACACGCTCTCGCTTGCTTTTGCACAGGTGACTGATCATTTTTACATTTCCTCACATTTTTCAGTGTGAAAGTAAATATTCTGCTTCAAACGCCAACTTTTTACTAGAGCATTTTTTGGATGAAATTATTCAATGCTAATTATTCAGATAAGAAAATTATTTTCCACAACTCCTAACAGAAAGTTTCAGTCAGGTGATTTTCGATGACACCTGATATAAAAGAAAATAACTCTTCCCAAGCTCTAATTTATAGCAAAGGAATCAGTTGGTTTTCCCTTGCTCTAAATTTACTTTTCCCAGTCTTAATCAGTTCTCCATTTACCCATTATGTGCAATAGGCCTAGTATTTCCTTAACATGTATTTTTTCTAATTTTAATCAGCTATTTCTTTGTTGAGCAATCTTAACTGCAAACAGAAATATGAAAAATATTGTTCATAACTTTTACTTTTACTAAACATGATTTTCTGGCACTTGCTCCAATAATTCCTGTCCTCGGCTTTGCCTCGTACTAGAAACTCACTCTCACATACTCGTCTTCGCCTCTAACAAAACTTGATCACACACAAAAAATGTTAATTTTGGAAAACTGGGTTATTACTAATTATGTTCATGATTTCAAGCGTAAAGAAAATATAGTTTTATATGTTATACAAAGAAATAAAATGGTTAAAACTTATGGAAAACCCAAAAAGTTTCGTCATAGGTAATCAGAACTATAAATGTTTGATATGGGAATCCCTTGTGATAACAACAGATCTCAATCCTGTAGTCAAGCTCTTGCCATACTTTGACAAGAGTATCTTGATCGATTGTTTTGATAGCAATGGTAATCCATTGCTGGATCTCAGGGTATGCTATCTGGTAATGTTGTTGTGTACACCTAATCTTTGATTGATGTATCTAATCTCCTTAAGAAAAAATCACAGGGGGTGATGTCTAGAGTCTTGGAGGCCAGTTCAGGAGTGTGTCATAGTTCAAAACACCACGCCCGATCAATCTCTCGGCCAGCACATTGTTAAGTTCAGCTCTAACATCCACATGGAGTTATTAAAAAATTGTTTAATAACCTCCACATTATAAAATGTGGAGGTGTGCCATCCAATTGCAGAATTAAATCTGCACAATCTTGTTCTAATTGCGGAAGAAGCCATTCTGTCACCATGTCCAAAAAAACTATTCCAATTGCCGTTTTTTCAATGAAGTAAAAAGGCCCGTGCACTTTGTTGTAAGTGACAGCACAAAACACATTAACCGTGGGAGGATTTGCTCAATGTAAGCGTAACTCATGTTCACTATACTCCATATTCTGAAATTATGTCTGTTCAAGTTACCACAGACTGGAATGCTGCTTCATCGGTAAAGACTAAATGTTTTACAAAGTTTTTGTTTTACATCAAGGTTTGCATGTCCTCACAAAAAGAAAGTCTGATAACTTTGTAATTTTTTTAATATTTGAAGCAGCTGAAGTTTTTAAGGTTTGAATTTTATATGTTACGTAGAATTTTCCAAACAGTTGACTGTGGTAATCAAAGCTGCATTTAACAGTAGATTTCAGTGGACTACGGGTAAAACTTTCCCTTACCTGCTCTACAACTTCAATGCTCACTGACGGCCATCCCAGTTAATTTTTTTGTACAAATGCAGCCAATTATCTTAAATTTCAAGTACCACTTGCTAATAGCGTCATTACTAGGAGGATCTTCATTAAACCTGGTTCTAAAGGGTCTTTGCGCACAGCAGATTGATTAATGTGTTAATACAACTCACAAAAAGCTGTCCTGTCTTCAAATTCAGCCATTACACAATTTTTACTCCCTAGAGGCTGATCAGTAGGCTACTATCTTTATTATTACTTCTTATATAATGCAATATACAACCTGCCAATACCTGCCATTTTGGCTAGGGGTGAGATATCCACCTCGGGTTTGCGTCATTGTGTTTCTTTCGACAAATCCTCCAAAATGAGGGGTCACTCAATAGGGGTTGCTATTTGAAAAAAATAAGTCACCCACTACCCTGTTAGGGGAGGGGGGGTTAAAAAATATTTTTGATGTAAAAAAAATAAAATAAAAAATAAATAAAATTTTAACAATCAACGCTACAAACAGAATATTTCTATCTATCTACCTATCGTTCGGTTTATAATATACAGATTTGTTTCAAGACTAAATTTACACACTGTATAAAAATTAAAATTCCATAAATAACACTGCTGTATAGAACTGTGATGGTTCAAAAACAATTACACATATCCAAATTTGACCAGACAAATGTAAATTCACTTGATATGCAGGATTGCTGTGGCAAGAGTAATTCATTCATTGATTTTTAGCAATGTCAAGTTTCTTGTTTATATCATACTTGTGTACGCTGTGAGTGCATTTTTAGGGCAAGTGAGTAACAAAGAAGACTTTTCAGATGAAAACTTTATTTTCTCTTGTTTTAGAAATAACTTGTTTATTGTCATCCATCTTGTTTTAGGTTATTAAAAATAAAACATTTACTTTGAGGTAAGAATCTTCAAACACATAATCGTAAAATTCGTAAAAATAATTTGGATTTAGAGTTTTAATAGATTTGTCTTCTTTCAGAACAATGTATTAAAGTATTTTTGGGACCATTGTAAGAAAACATCAGAACCAGAGTTGAGAGTGGTGTTGGAAAAGCTCTACTACCTCTATGGGCTGACCTGCTTACAAAAATATATTGGCTACCTTTACCAAGGTTTGTTAACTTTTTGTTGTGAAGAACACCAAACTAATCAGTTTACAACCATAGGAGTTAACTGAAGCACAGGAGCTGACTAATTTAATAGAGTGTTAGGGTTAGAACATCAGCGACTGACCGTTTCCACATATATTCAATATGGGAAAATAGGCTCTTAAGCTATAGTGTAAAGTTAGTTTAAACATCATGTCCATATTTTCCTGTACTTCCCAATGATAAAACTTAAAGTATTACCGGTACTTATGTTGTGTTCAAAGAGAGTGTTGAAAAATACAATTTCATTCCACCAGTGAATGACTGCATATTATGCAGGGTGCGGCTAATTTAAAGAATGCGTTGAAATACCGCTACGTTGCAAAAACTAAATCATTACTTTTTTAAATCGACTCTATAACAAATGCACGTTGCTCAGGTGACCACTACTCTATGACCACAGATAATAGTAGGCTTGTAGGCTTCCCAACGAGCCTAACCCCACCACTCTCAAACGACCTGTTGCTGAACAGTGTGCTGCAGAAAATAGATGTTTTTTTTGCTGCACCTTGTATAATATTTTAAAATTTATTTAATCCCCCTTCTTTTCATCAAATAACCTGTTCAAGGTTCTCATCAAAGCTGGACACCCTGTTTAAAATAGAAATAACCATTTCAGAATCGTAAATATATAGATTCTAGTAAATTAATACTTTTCATCTTGAAAGTTAACGTAACCTTTAACCAGCAGTCAAATTCTGGTTATAGTGTATCCAAATGATTTATGATGAGATTTTGTGTTTTCTACTTATGTGTATACTTAAACTGAAGTTGTGATCCAGTGATTGGCTGTTTAATAATTTTAGCCCAAAAAGACTCTCGGACACCCCCTTCCCACAATAAATAAATAAATGATTACATTTTAATGTTCTTCAGTTAAATCAAATAAATGATATAACTTGAACAAATAGTAAAAAAATACAAATTTAAATTATTAAAAACATATTAAAATTAGGTAAGCTATTCCAATTTATTAATAACTAATTTTTCTATTTAACCCTTACTAAAGCAGACTAAAGCAGATTACTATTGCAGAGGGCAATTCATATATGGTGGTAAGACCAAACAGGGCTGCAGGTGCTATGACGCTATTGCAATGGTTAGGCACTCTTTGGCAGAGTCCAAAGCTGCCTGCGCACTAAAAAATCAGTGAAGCCTCCACTATCTGGATATCCTGCGTGGCAAGCTCTTGTTATCATGAGTAAAATTTAAATTGGCACTCCTGTTTTAACCTAATCTATACAACCAAACTTACCTATACTTCATTCACAATATTTAGGCGGTTTGGGGGAATGAAATCTATCCCCTACACTTGACCCTTACCTTTAAAATAGTAGCTCAACAGCTGATTAGGCAACATACATTAAATACCAAAAAGTGGTGCGGGAACTTCCCCTCAAACCCAGGCCCGCTTTTGACCCTGTCAGTGCCCTAGGCACAACTAATAGTAGCACCCCTCAGCAATATATATAACAGGGTGTCCACCGACCGGGAAATCCGGGAATAATGCGTGAATTTGGTATTTCTACCTGGATATTTCAATTTACCGCAATCGCGCAAAACAACAGTGACGTTTCTGTAACCGCGGGAGACGATAATATGTCAACACATGGCTGAGGGGATGATCACAATATTGCCGCAATCACGGTAGGCGATAATGTCCACACGACCGCGGGAAACATTCAGAATTTTGCCGTGAATGCGGAAGACGATGATGATCTCCAAACTACTGCGGGATTTGATTAGGGCTAACATTTTGCCGCAATAGTTTGATATGATTACGATTACGATGTCTATGCGGGAGACGATTGTGATGTTTTCAGGACACTGGGAGATAAAATAATGATACACGGCCTACACAGCTGCAATGATCAGAATTTTACCGCGATCGTGCAAGATAATGTCCAAACGTGACACGACCGCAGAAAAAGATAAGAATTTGGCCTCATTTGCGGCAGACGTCAATAATCTCATCACGGCCGCGGGATGTGTTCACATATGTTCATATATTCGTGTCAGATCATAGAAGACTATAATTATGTCTACACGACCACGGGAAACAGTCAGAATTTTGCCGCGATCGTGGGAGACAATTACGATATCTACATGGCCACGGGAGGCGATAATGATATCTACACAGCTGCGAGGGAATATCATAAGTTTACTGCTATCGCATGCAAATACAACCACCATTTTTTATTTTCCAATTCATTTGCCCCCAAAAAAGCCAACTGCCTCGCAGCCTAGGCACGTGGCTACCATGCCTATTCAGTAAATCGGCCCTGCTCAAAATTGGGAACGAAGTATAAAACAGTTGTTTTGTTGTTGTTTTATGATTAGTGCTGTAGGCCTAATCTTGGTATGTGTGTGTGTCTATGTAAAGTAAAACACTAATCTTTTACTCTTATTCTTATTTGTTAATTTAATATGTAGTTTGTGGTTGTGACCTGTTATCATCTCTGTTCTACAAAATTTAGGTGGTTTGAGGGAAGAGATACCATCCCCTCCACCTCACCCTAACTTTGAAACAAGAGTCGACAGCTGTTCTGCTGATATGTAGATTAAGCTAAAAAAAGTGGTGGGGAAACCCAAGAAATCTTCCTCCTAAACCACCTAAATTTTGTGAACGGACTTTAATACATCTAAGGCTATGTTACTGTGTCTCTGGGTTTTGAGAAAATTAACACTGACCCTTCTAGATTTAAGTACTGTGGATACATTTATATAAATATAAATTACAGCCTGAGACTGGACAATAAAGTATCATATAACATCATGAACTTCATACTTTTAGCGAATTTCCCATATAGGGAATAAGCTATTACCGTAGATCTCATGGTAAGACCTAGACCCGGGACCGATTTACTTTTTCGTTTTGAGGTCCCCAGAGGCCAAAAACACCATCCGTTCAAATTCATATATATATATTTATATATGTGTCCATTAGCGCGAAAACTCAAGCAAAATTGATCCGATTTTGATGAAATTTGGTACAAACGTGTAAACCTACATTTATTCGAACGAGTTCGCAAACCAGCATAATCGGACCATGGGATCAGGGGTTTATGGGTAAAAATGAGTTTTTCTAATTTTTGACCCTAAAAACTTTAAATTTCTAAATTTCTCTCTAGACCATTTTGAAGAGCTTAAAAAAACAAATAATTTAGTATATTGAAGTGTTTTTGAATGTTCATTGACTATGTAGAAAATTAAAAAAAATTTAAATTTATAATTCCCATGTTATTCTTATGGAGAACAGATAAACTGTTCTAGTTTGCTTGTTTATGGATATATTTTAATCAAATTTGGCAATTTGGTTTTTTTTATACTAAGCTATCAATATTTCAATTGAAAAAACACACCTCAACATCTTCCCTGTAGCAGCAAACCTAACTACTCACTAAAATTAATGCTATTTAAATAGGAAATAAATCTGAAAATTTATATGGAATATTTTAGTAGAAATCAAGCGGGGTAAATGGAAATTCGCTTAGTATGCAGGTTTGCTGCGACGGGGGTATTTAACTTACATAGTAAGCAGTACAGGTCTATTAAGTATATTCAAATTACATTGAATCATTGGATGACTGAAATCTTGATGGTGTGATGCAACGCTCGCAGAATTATTGCTTGCGATTTGCTTTTGATTTAAGACTCTTTGAGCAAATCACACCTTTCTACATCAAATCAAAAATATTAAAGTTGAACGATCAGAGGCTACTTTTAAAATCATCATTTTAGCAATAGATTGCCAAAATAGTTTGAACGTGACTTCAGTTTTGTAGCTGAAACGCACTGCATCTTTCACGTTGAGCATACCTCATCATAGGAGTACAGCATATGACAGGGCCTTTGTTGTAACTGCCTGCCATCTTTGTAACAACCTACTTTTATCCATTGAAATGCTTGATAGTCGTCCATGGTTCGTGGTGGCACTGAAAAAATTGTACTTTGAGCGTATGGCCTCAGCTGGTGCGTCCTTTTTGGCGCTTTTGTAATTGCTGACTGAGTGTATGAGTGTTTATGTTAGACATTTAATTTTTGTTTTTAAAAAGTATTGATTTTGTGTAAATAATGTTTTCTATTATATTGTGTATTGTATTTTATATTTATATACAAGCAGGTTAAGTGTAAGAAAGGGCCGTGTGGCCCTAACTTTGCATGTTGAAATAAATTATTTTCGTTTAGTTTTCATTTCCCAAATTAAAGTTATGCCATTTTATGCCATATTTTTGTTGATTCTGTGACTGTGGATGATTGCCCTGCCACTACTATATTGTAATGTACATTCAGGTGGCTACTGTGAGGGCGCAGCACTTGCTGACAATCTCAACACGGCTGTACTAAGGCTACTGACAGAACTGAGACCCCAGGCTGTGAGTCTAGTAGAGGCTTTGGCTCCTCCAGACTTCATACTCAACTCTGTCTTAGCACACTCTGATGGCAAGGTAAGTACTTCCTTTACAACCTTAATCACAGCAAAATCCTGATGTCATCATTGTCACTTACTATACTGACACATTATTTATTTAAAAAAAAATTTTCTAGTACAACATGCTGCAGCCCCCTGACAATTAGTGGTGTATCCGGTACTAGGAATAGTTTTACATACTTTATGCTACTATCCTTTTTATTACTTTATCCTAGACCTACAGGGTTGCAAAAATATAACATAGCTAATAATTATTGTAGGCCTACTGTGACTTTCCTAAGAGATTTACAGTACACCTAGTGCTTTGTAAAGCTATTTCATACTAAGCTATTAACATTTAATTTTAACCCTGGGACTGGCAATATGACAATTTTTGTCATATATCTGTGCTTCCAAAACGCCCATATGACAAAAAACGTCATATAGTGTAACTTTTCTTTTACCAGCTTAAAATAATTTCAAACCAAATAATTTTGATAACATTCGAAAGATGAGGTTACAAGCTTTCATTTTCATACATAAAGAACCTTATAGCATTAACAGATCAATTTCATTTTTGTTACAATTTGAATTGAAATTTAGGTGAGACGATTTGGAGTTTGGCCTATCAATTCATTACTCATGTTCAAAAAATTGTAACGCCGATAATTTTATGTGAAACTGAATGTGGTTGGTACCAATGGATGAATTTTGTTCTTCAGTTTATTTTTGTATCAAGAACCATGTTATAAAATACAACTTGTCAGACAACTTGGGAAATAATATTTAGAAATCAGCTGACATTCATAATGACAAGAATCGTCATATGAGCAATGACTAATAAATCAATAAAGGATTATGTTAGCATGATGCAATTTATATTGAGCTGTAACCAGAAATAAAAACACACTATTTGAAATACACGGGTGTTGTTGACATTGTGTAAAATAGCTGTTTCGTTTGTGACAGTTGCCATTACTGTTGTGCGGCGTTCATGTCTCGTGAGTCTTGCGTGTGAGCATAGATATACGTATTAAAACCCATAAAAGTATGGTCTTTTCCTCATCACCACATCGTGTTACAGTTGTACAACAACCTGATGGATTGCTTGATGTCTGACCCTCGCGCGATGGAGCGGCCATCGTGGTGGAGAGAAATCCGCCTCAAGGCCAAGCTATAGAATCCAGTGCCTATACTGTACCTTTACCATTTAAGGCTGTTAACATGTATTTATTCTGCCCCCTTATTTAAATGTGAACTCCTCTCCTCATAAAATCATACTCCAAGATCCAAGGTTTATCTGTAGTTTTAGATTAATGAGGTACCAAAAGCCTTAAAAATCTACTACTCTATGGAATTTTTAAAACTGGTAGTCCCCACTATAGCTGATACATAAAAACATATTTGCAGACATGTTTTTGTTATGGATATTATTGTGCAACAGAGAGTTTGTTGTTACAAGCCAATGTATGTTTTATCTTTTCTTTAAATTAAATTAATTGTTAAGATGATGTTTACTTTTGTTATTTATCAATATAACAAAAGTAAAAAGCTTTGTTTCTGAAAGAAGAAATTAAAAAATTGTTATTTAGTTTCAAATTGTTCAGAACCTTGTCATAACGCATCTACCACATATAGTTTGGACACCTGTAAGTTGTGTTTAAAACACAACCATAATGAATGTCTTGTTATTGTTTCAGTTGTTAGTCTATATTAAAAGTTTTCATAACAAAACTTATACAACTCTATTACAATTATGTTAGTTTTTAATTGACCATATGTATATTCCCTCCTTGTCCTAAATAAACTTTGAATATATTGTCCCATTAAATCTCAAGTAGTCTTCAGCCAGTAGATAATTAAATTCAGTACATTTCCTATTGGGAAGAGTGGTAGAAGCATGGGACCATAACTTTTCTTCTAGGGTCTGTGGATGAAAAAATGTTCTACATTACATACCCTGCCCTCATAACTAGAATTTTAGTTTCAGATTACAATTTGGTCAGTTTACCAACTACCGGTCAGTGCTCTTAACATAACTAACTTACAGTTTCCCGTAGACTAAATTTGTTCTCCAAACGAGTTTAACCTTGGTTTGAAACACAAATAAACAGTGATTGCCATAATTTTTAGGGCCCAATTCATGACTAGTTAAAGTGAAGCTTAAAGATATACCCAGATAAATGAAGTAGCTTTTCAGAAGAGGTGTATTCCAAAAGTGCTTAGGCTAAGTCAAAATTTTAACATATCGAGTTATTAATTGTATATGATTCCTTACTACAAGTTTCTCAACTTGAAAACATATTTACGCCAAAATGGCTTGAATCAAATAGACTAAATTAGCAATATTAGCATAGGTTGTGCTCAGGGCCTGATTACCCATTAGGCTAATTAGGCTGGAGCCTAGGGCGCCAGTCAGCCAAGTGTTTTAGGGGGGTGCCAGACAGCTAAGACTTAAAGTTGGGACCGGGGGCGTAAAAAATGTTTTATTCCAAAAAAGGATGTGCAGATAGGGAAGGAGGTGGGGACGGGTGCGTTCGGCAGATTTTCATAATCATTATATCCATATATAAAGCCCAAAGTACCCATGAACTTTTGAGAAAACTACAAGTCACACCCCCATAAACCATATACTTAAAATATTCGTAATGACGAGAAACCTTGTGTAAAACTATCCATTATTTCATAAATTGCCCTTTAAATCCTTTCTAAAAGGAACTTTCCATATACCTAACGTTAAAAATACCTCAGCTGTAATTATTTGTTTATTTAAGCTTAACTTAACCAATCAATAGTTTTATTAATACTTATGAAGTCAAACGGGGTGAAGCCCGTGGGTTACAGCTAGTTTATAGTAATAATTGATTTGTAAAAACATTTAACGATACTTTTTGTTGCAGATAAATACAGATAAATGCTGTAAACTAAGTAATTCCATCTAAAGGTCCTAATAAAATTGGTTTAGGCCTTGGTGATTAACAGAGTTAATTTTTAAAGTATGCATATTATTGTTTGGTTTTTTGATATTTTAGGTTAGGTCTACTTTTGATTTAATACAATCATATGTTTAATAAAATGTAAAATAAATACATTATTTTAAATAAAAAAGTTTTACATTCCTTGAACAACCGATTTGTTAAAAGTTCGTAATCAAACCATCCATGAATTATTTATGATGAGTTTTCTTTTATTTTTAAATAAACCGAATATTAGTATAATGCCTTTGGCCATTTTAAATTTTGAATTCAGTATTAGTATTCATTCTTTGAAATTTTGAAAGTGGTAGCGGAGAGGAGGGGTAGTGGAAGGGAGGAGGGGGCGCGAAAAACGTCAGCCTACTGGCGACTAGACCCTTAATCAGGCCCTGGTTGTGCTGATTTCAATCATTAATTTCTGTCAAATACACAGACTTTTTGACAAAGTCAAACTAATGGAATGACTTGTAGTGAGTTATAGCAACTGTTATGACCCATCAACTTAGTCAGCAACAATGAATAAGGTAGACAATGGAATTTTAGATCCTAGCGCATTCTGTGACTGGCTCACATAACTATGTTCTTTTTTTTGTATAATTGGCAACAGCTGTTCCATATAGATGGGATGTCTACTTCAGTATCCAATAGCATTGACTTTATTGATAGTCAAAAGCCAATAGTCAATGATTTCAACTCTGTAATGTTTTCTAAAACTGCTTTGGTCATAAGTAGCCTATTCTTTCCAAAACTGCTTTATTCAGCTGTTGAGTAATCAGCGCATGCGCAAATGGTGCTGCCCAGCTGTCATATATCTACTGCCAGTAGGCCTAGAAGTCATTTTTGATCGTGTGATGTTGATTATGTTTACTTCTATTGAAAGTTAACAATATTATATACTAAGATAGTCGTATATGATGAAATAGGCATTTATTATAGCCTACCGTAATATTTCACGGTTTATTAATATTTTGCATGTTTTCATGTAAATTAAAAACGTTTCTTTTAGGCCTATTGTTGATTTTATTCCTTTTAGCAAATTTCCCTATAGCGAAGTAGCTATTACCGTAGGTAGCACAGTAAGACCTAGACCCGGGACCAATTTACTTTTTCATTTTGATGTTCCCAGAGGCCAAAAACACCATTCTTTCAAATTTTTATATATGTGTATATATAGAGAGTTAAATTGTGTCTGTAAACGTGATAACTCGAGTAATTTGGATATACTGGGATATATTTTGATCAAACTTGGCAAATTTATTTATTTTATACTAAGCTTTTAATTTTACTAAAAACCATACTTTATTAGTTTCCTCGTAGCAGCAAACCTAGGTGCTTGTTAAACCAAATCAGGGTGTATACCAACCGGGAGAACCGGGAAATAACCTTGAATTTGAAGGGACCTGGAAAAAACCGGGAAAAAGCCGGGATTTTTGGACCGAATCCGGGATTTTTATTTTAGCCCCGGTAGAAAATTGTAGTCGTAAAATGCGCCTTGCCGCGATTGCGGGCGACGACGATGACGTTTTCGTGACCGCGGGAGATGACGATGACGTTTCCGTGACCGAGGGATCAACGATGATGTATACACTGCCGCAGGAAATATTCATGATTTTGCCGAGATCGCGGACGACGACGATGACGTTTCCGTGACCGCGGGAGACGACGATGACGTTTCCGTGACCGCGGGAGACGACGATGACGTTTCCGTGACCTCGGGAAACGACGATAACGTTTACGTGACCGCGGGATCAATGATGATGTATACACTGCCGCGGGAAATATTCATGATTTTGCCGAGATCGCGGACGACGACGATGACGTTTCCGTGACCGCGGGAGACGACGATGATTATGTCTACACGGCCGCAGATGTTTATGATTTTGCCGAGATCGCAGACGACGACGATGACGTTTCCATATCTGCGAGAGGCAATGATGATATCTACACGGCCGCGGAAGATTTTCGTGATTTGCCGTGACCGTGAAAGACGACGATGATGATTTATACACGTCCGCGTGATATGCTCATGATTTTGCCGTGAATGCGGACGACGACGATGACTTTTCCGTGACCGCGAGATCAACCATGATGTTTACACTGCCACGGGAAATATTCATTATTTTGCCCAGATCGCGGACGATGACGACGATGATGTTTCCGTGACCGCGGGAGACGACGATGATGTAGACACGGCCGCGGGAAATATTCATGATTTTACCGAGATCGCGGACGATGACGTTTCCGTGACTGCGGGAGGCTATGATGATGTCCACACGGCCGCGGAAGATATTTGTGATTTGCCGTGACCGCGAAAGACGACGATGATTATGTCTACACGGCCGCAGATGTTCATGATTTAGCCGCGATCGCGGACGACGACGATGACGTTTACGTGACCGCAGGACCAACGATGATGTTTATACTGCCGCGGGAAATATTCATGATTTTGCCGAGATCGCGCACGACAACGATGACGTTTCCGTGACCGCGGGAGTCAATGATGGTGTCTACACGGCCTCGGAACATTTTCGTTATTTTACCGTGATCGCGGTCGATGACGATTACGTTTACGTGACCGTGGGAGTCAATGATGATGTCCACACGGCCGCGGAAGATTTTCGTGATTTTGCCGCGATCGTGGATGACGATGATTACGTTTCCGTGATCGCGAGAGACGGCGATAATGTATACATACCGCGGGAGATGTCCAGGATTTTTCTATGATAACGTAAGACTGTGATGACGTTTACGTCACCGTGGGAAGTGACCACACGACCGCAGGAAATATTCAGGATTTTGCCGCCGTTGATAATGTGTTCATAAAAAATGAAGATAATATTCATGATTTTGCTGCTATCGAGAGAGACGATGTTTCCGTGGACTTAAGTAATGGTGATAATGAAAATTATTACGATAATAAGGATTATTACTTTTTCAACACTAGCTCACTGGACTTTGAAACAAATTTTATGTAGGTTTATATTGTATACTTAAGCTGCAAGTCTTAAATTGATTATAGTTTAAGTGGAACCAAACAAATACGCGGGAACCTGGAAAAACTTCGAAAAACCAGGAAAAAACCTGGAATTTCACTTTAATAAAATAGTATACACCCTGCAAATGTTATTTAAATAGATTTAAATGGAAATAAATTCGGACAAATAGAAATTTGCTTAGTCGACAGGTTTGTTGTGGCAGGGGTATTATCACCATTAACATTATTATTTTTAAATTGATGTGTAAAAGTAAATAGCCCCGCCGCAGCAAACCTGCAGAGTGCAGACTAAGCGAATTTCCATTTGCCTGATTGGATTTACACTAAAATATCTCCTTAAAAATATCACATTTATTCCCTATTTTAATAACATTAGTTTAACGAGTACTTATGTTTGCTGCAACAGGGAGGGTAAAAAAGGTGTTAGTTAAAAAAATTTAATAGTTTAGTATGAAATTAATGCATTTTCCAAATTTGATCAAAATATGTTCATAAACAAGCAAACTACAACAGTTTACTTATTCTCCATAAGAATAACATGGGAATTTAAAATTTATAGATTTTTGGATATTTTCTCCGTAACCATTAGGCGCATATTAACGCTTCAATATACTAAATTATTTTTTTTTCAAGCTCTACAAAATGGTTTGGAAAGAAATTGCTAAATGTTAAGTTTTTAGGGTAAAAAATGGGAAAAACCAATTTTTACCCCATAAACCCCTGTTCCCATAGTCCGATCATGCTGGTTCGCGAACTCGTTTGAATAAACGTAGGTTTACACGTTTGTACCAAATTTCATCAAAATAAATAATTTGTAGCTTGCAAAAACTTGCTCGTTCTTTCCAAAAATGTAAAGATTTGTTATGTAAAAACTTTACTATTACACAGTATTAAAATAACTTGCTTGATAACAGTTTTAAAGAGTATTTTTATTAACAAAAAAAGTTAGTTCCTGAAAAATTTACTTTTTTGACCTAAGCACTTTTGGAATCCACCTCTTCGATTATTGAAAGGTGACCAACCAAGCCATCTCTTAGGAGTTCAAGTCAACTCTACACTTTTTGTTATGGGCTCTATTTTTTTACTTTCATTATATTAATAAATAATTAGGATAACAGTGCTAAATACATATTGTTTTGTTACCGTATCATATTTACATTTTTAATTAAAAATATATTGTGTTTTAATCTTCACTTAAGCCTTAAATTTACATACTATAATCAAGTGAAATCTTAAGCCTGTATAAAACTATTCATCTTACAGAGATCCAATAAAAATGACTAGCCTAAGTGAATACAGGAAAACTGGGCATTTACTTGACCAATTATTAAATAAGTCATAAGTGTTTTCTGTTTTCATTTAGAGTAATTGTACAGAACAATTCATATTATTAATTACCTGTTGTTTGATTATATTTACAAAGGTTTCTTAGCTAATTTTAGGTTTATTATGTTTAACTAGTTTTCCCGTATGAACTATTTTACCCCATTTGCTTTCTTTCTTTTTTGTTAATATCGTATATTTATTATA